AAGTACAAGTAGAAACAAATATGAATATAGAATCGCAAATCAAGAGTCAAGGTGTTCAAATAATTGTTGTAACAATTAAGAACAGTGTTACAATTGCTTTCGTATAAGACTGTTACATTTTTCTGCGTTATTTGGTTACGTGTTCCAACATAGAAGACTTGCGTCAAGACTGAATCAAATTCAAAGCTACCAACAACTTCTACATTTTTTTTTTTATAGTGATTTTTACCTAATTTCTGAGTGAAGTGTAAGTAATTAACGCATTCCCAAATACTAGTACCATGGGTTATGATAAAGTGTGTTTGATTATCCATTTAAAAGCATCGGAATGTGTTTTTTTATTTCTCAAAACTTGAAAATAAAAAAAAAATAAGACTTACTTTAAATTGAAAGTTGATTGAATTGAACTCAATTTTTATCTAAACACGCACTTAATAGTGAGTGAAACACTTTTAAGAGAATTTCACAAATTTTAATTTGATATGCATACAAAGCACATATGTTTTAAATGTAATTTCCCTTACATTCTTAACAGATGATTTAGTCTCTTTTATTTAAACAACGAGAAAAATGTCAAAGGTTGTTAACCAATTAATTTAAGTAGTTTGACATTTATGAATTAACATTTAATTATTGACTTGGACATAAAGTTGCAACCGAAGACAACATTTTATATTTTATTCTTATAAGAGTTGACTCAATGAAAAAAATTGTACATCCTTATCAAATAAAAAAAATTACAAGAAAAATCACTTTCATTTCCCATTTTTTTATATTTAAAATACACAAGCATATCTAATAAAGGAGTATCACTAGGTGTATTTAAATCATGTTTCATCGGTCAAATACCGCATCTAATACTCATGTCTAAGGAGAAATTAGATATATTGTATAAGCTTCTGAATATTTTTGTTTTAAATTCACATAATATTATTCTAAGTTCTAAAGCAAAACCAAACGCTAAACGAGTGCATAGATTAATTAGGGTGTAGTTGTTCAAAGTTATCAACAATCTCATGTTTAAGTATGTAACTGTATTAATACTCGAAGGAAAAAATTATGAAGATCATACATATCATTTATATCTCTAAAAAACATAATAATGGATGAGATGAATACGATCTTTTTCCAAACTTGAGTCATATAACTAAATGATCAAGATTTAGTTATGTAATTACTAAAATAAAATCATACAATTTTTTAAATTCACATAACTTGTCATAATAAAACTTATCGATCTACGTATACAACTTATGTACTTTAATCATGCTCATTTATGATAAAGTGCATGTTTGGTTACACACCCTAAACGTAATTCAGAACAAAAATCACGTTTAAAACGTAAAAGTTATAATTAACAGCTTTCATTCTAACGTAATTTATTACGTTAAAAATCTGAACCAAACACACACAAAATCTAATAGTATAAATATAATGAAATGTATTTCTATTTGTGTGCGAGAGATAACTTTTTTTTTTATTGAGTGAGGAATAAATATTATCATTAAATTTTATCATGAACTCTTAAGATTAAAATGCATAATTTGTGACTTTTTTTTAAAAGTCAAACTACTTTTTTGATCAGCCACTGACTTAACATCCATTTATGATCATACAACACCGACCTGCAAACTTCCTGAGTTCTGTTCTGCGTTTTGATCTTAATGATTCGTCATAAGATATAATGAATTAATGATTAATATCTCCCCTGCTTTCGTGTGTAAATGAAAAGCAAAAACCAATGAAATATAAATGTGTACAGCATAGTACGTGGATGGATAACATTATTAGCCAAAATAAGCCTTTAACATCTTGGTCCTGCATAAGCCTTTTTTTTTTAACACGCAGCATCCCACATGACTAGCCAGAACAAACTCAACAACAAATTTATTGCCTTGGCAGTTCCAGGACATGTAACGTGAAAAAGGAAATTTACTTTTAAGAACCTGAAATCACATTAAGTACAGCATAAAAACAGAAATCACATTTAAGTAAGCATTCTTCTATTGCCTATGTACGTTTGAGAATCAATCTTTTGCAATACATACTTTAAAAATTGGCTACGTAACTATAACTTGTTCCCAACCACTACCGAAATATATTTATTCCACCTATGCTCAAGACCTTCCAACCTTTCCTAATTCTGTACATGCATTTATACCATAAATATGGTTGGCAGGTTGAACAAGTAAAGCTATGAAATGATCAAATGAATTATACCAACCTCGACTTGCCCACAAATTTAACAGCAATGTACCTACTCAATTTAAGTTCCATGAACAAAAAACTCATTAAATTGATTGTATGTGTAAGAAAAACAAACTCATAAGTCAGAACCTAACTATTATAACACCCGGCATAACAAATTAATTGAACTAGCTTTCTTCGTTAGCATCATGTTCCTTACTTCAGACGACAAAATTAAAAACTACCAAACATCCCTTCAGGAAATTTCAGGCAATTCACAAAATTTTCAACTCCTTTTCCATGTATAGCATTTTCTGCTTCATCAAAAGCTACCATTGATCACTGATCAAGTCAAACCTTCCACAAGTTAAGATCAACATTCTTTTGGAGACAAATTAATATGTGAACTGGAGGAATAATAGTATATGGACAGTTTACCTGATAGTGAAGGAGATGTTCATTTTACAGGAATTAGGTGCAGGTGAGTCACCACCTTAGTATAAGAGCACTCCCAAAAGGTAAATCCAGGGTGGCATAATTCTCATAGTCGCTGAATATTTTGGATACTCCTAGTAAGTTAGTGCAAATGGCTTGAACAACTTGAATCTTCTGGTTGAGACTTTAGAGTATATATAGTATCGCGAGGTGTAGACTAGGTAACTTTAGTGAGTCTCAAACAACTCATAACTTCATCAAATCAAATTTAAGATGTTTGAATAAACTTCTCTAGAAACACTTTTAGAAGAAAAAAAATTAAAAAAATTAAATAAACTTCATAATATGTTAAAATTAACTTATGCATAAAATAATAAATTTTTAAAAAAGTCAATATGAGAAAATTTTTACAAATTAATTTATGCTCAGACTAATTTTAATTTATAAAGAAACTTATATAATTTTTTCTTCCTATTTTTATCTCCTAAAAAAGCTTCTAAAGATGTTTATCTGACCAGACCCTTAGCCATGTACACCCAGATCAATTATCAAATCTACAATCAATAGTTCTAACCAAAGTGATAACATGAACTAGATCTAGGATGTAGAAACTATACATAATTGTCTGAAGAGAGCTATATACAAAAGTAGAACAAATCCGAGTGGAAACCCGGAGGTGTTGTCTGAGAAAGAGCACAAGTGTTTTGCATGTTGTCTTGTCGAGGATGTTCATGAATGACCAACACAAAAATTAAAAGATTGACTTTAAAATAACATGCCACAAAATTATCTACACGAAAAGAAATCCAATAGATTTCATTAGCACAAATTAATGAAAATGGAAATGGTTATGATACAAAACACTCTGACACTGTTAAGTGTTAATGTGCCTTTTTCAGCATTCGCCATCCGATTAACAAAAACAACTTAATTAATAGGGATAACCTGTCTGGACAATATACAGAATGCTGCTACTAGATTCAACATTGCAAGCACCTTTAAATACGCAATCTAATCATTGTACATTTTATCAGCTTCAAAACCTACCATAATTTCCCTGAATGAAGTTGATTTATCAACAACTTAAGAAACGAAGGAAACATGTGAAAAATCAAATAAAGAGAAAACTGCCAAATTCCTTATTGCTTCCAAAAACATGAGATCCAGAAAGTGATACTACACATCTAAATCACTCTTTAAAGCCCCTTCGTTTATAAAATTACTAAATAAACAGAAAATTGCCAATTTCCAACTGCTTCCAAAAAAAAATAATAAAAAAAAGAGATCTAGAAAGTGATATTACATATTACAAACCTAAATCACTAATTTAAAGCCCTTTTCTTATAAAATTCTTCAAAACAAGAACCACCAAACCTAATCCTATTAACTGTGATCAGGAATCATACAATAGCACAAGGTTCTATCACAAAATATGCATTTAGACAAACTACTTACGATCCTATACATGATAATCTCCAAAGACACAATTCAAAAATCAAATTGTTAACATCCTTGAGACATATAATACTCCATGTGGTGGTTTCCACCGAATTAAGGTTGAATTTAATCCTCCCCTTTGAAGCCAGTTAACTGTTCATTTACTATTAAGATGGCAAAGCAGAACATCATCTCTATTAGGGTGTGCCGAACATTAGAAGAAAAAAAAAACCTTCATTTATATTTGAAGCATAACAGAATAAAAGTCTATGTAGATAAATTTTTCTATAAACACTTGTAGAAGAAAAAAGATATGAAGAAACATAAAATAAACTGCTCTATGAGTTAAAATTTGTTTACACATAAACTACTTTGTAGAAACTTTTTCATATTAGCTTCTTTAAAAAAAAATATCTTTAACTTGTACATAATCTGTAATTAGAAATTAGATTATGCAGAACTTCCATTTTTCCTTCCTACTTTCATTTTCTACAAGTGTTTATAGAAATATTTATCCAAATAGGCTTTAACTCAATAAGATATCACAACAAATCTAATGTACTACTGGAGAACTCTAGACACAAGGACAAAAGAAAATAAGAACAATGAACAATCAGACACCGTTGAGGGTAAAAATACAACGAATATAAGCTCTATGAGTTAAAGTTTGTTTATACATAAACTACTTTGTAGAAACTTTTTCATATTAGTTTCTCAAAAAAAAAAAAATTTAACTTGTACATAAGCTGTAATTAGAAATAAGATTATGCAGAACTTTCATTTTTCCTTCCTACATTCATTCATTTTCTACAAGTGTTTATAGGAATATTTACCCAAATAGGCTTTAACTCAATAAGATATCACAACAAATCTAATGTACTACTGGAGAACTCTAGACACAAGGACAAAAGAAAATAAGAACAATGAACAATCAGACACCGTTCGAGGGTAAGAATACAACGAATATATGATTTTGTCATCGTTAATCCTTTAAAGATTCCTAACATCATTGTACACTGAACATGTTAGAGAAAAATCAAATTAGAAGAAAAAAATAGGTACATGAGGGCTACTTTTTCTTTCCATCATAAGCCAAGGTAATGGAACTAAAGGGAAAAAGGGTCAACACAACATGAAACGTGAAGGAAACGTGAACTAACAGTACCAATATACACAGTAACCGCCAAGGGCCGAAATGATGGCATCAATTGCACACAATGATTCCTCAAATTCCTGTCTTTCCATGTTTGCCTTTTCATTCCTCCCACCAGATTCTGCAGAATCCAACCAATATTCCCTTTCCCCCAACTATTACGCTCTCAGCAAAGAATTTCAACCCATTAAATTTTTAAAAAAGAATTAATAAGAAAACCGATAAAGAAAAAAAATAATTCTTCAAGAAGAACAATTCTCGTATCTGTCATCGTCCTTCAAAAGTTGCCTTCTTTTAATTATCAAGAACCCAACCAAGCCAACTTGCATGATTGCCGCAATGCCCACAAATAAAAGTCCAACCTTTTTCCCGGCGTTCATCTTGTGCGGCGGCGGCGGCGGCGATAAACGGATGCGGTGCTGGTGGCGGTGGAAAGGGTGCCGTGGTCTTCTCACGTGAGGGCTCGGCGCCGATGCGTGCGAGGGAACGGAGCCGGATGAATCAGAATCAGAACGCGGTGATGGTGCCGACGAAGAACTCGACGAGGAAGACGGCGGCGGCGGCGGAGGTGGTGGTGGCGGCGGCGGAGGTGGCGGGGACGTCATAAATGCCGGTGATGCTGATTCATCGCCGCTGTTCCTATTTTGCGACTGGGATTGGACAATAATCGCGTAAAAGCTTATTGTAATGCCGAAAATCACGAAACTCAAGGGAGAAAACGTCGAACCCATGGATTTTGAAGAACGATTTGAATTGAACCACGATTAGAGCTTCCAGTTTAGAGGGGGGTTTCTCCGCATCCACCCCCTTCTTGTCCGGTGAATATCCGACAAAATCAAACGATCCCTTTGAATCTGAACCCTTCCAATCGAACCGGGTCGGTCTCAAAATCCTGGCTTTCTCGTTCTCCGTCCGAGATTGAACGCGCCCCCAAATCTGCTGTTTTCTAGGGTTTTCGCGATTGGGCCCTGGGAAAGCAAAAGACAAAAAATGCGCGTGGGTTTGGAGAAGTAGTAGGAAAAGGGTAGGTGAATCTGAAGAGAGAGAGAGAGAGAGAGAGAGGTTAATTGAATTGAATTTCTCCGGGGTCTCTCTCCCCCACCTTCTGAGAAATGGGGAGCGAGAGAGAATGCAGTTGGAGAGAGAGAGAGAGAGAGAGAGAGAGTATACGCGGGGTCCAACGGTTGGCCTAATTTAGGCGAGTAATGAGGTTGTATGTAACAAGGAATCTTTGGACCTGTCATGACTCATGAAGACAGAAAGAGAGAGAGACATTGTGACATGACGTGTCAAAAATGGTGGGCCCAAGGCCCAAGGCACTTTTGATTGTGTGGGACCCTTTTCCTATAATACTCATCTCATGGTGCTCTCATGTGTAGTTCGGTCCATCCCTTTAGACTCCATTTCTGGGCCACACCTCTCTAACTCGGATTGCCTTCATTATTAGAGATTGGAATTCAAACCACCCTTAGTCTCCTTTTTCTTCTTTTTTATACTTTTACCAAATTGTATTATTTTATGTTTGGTTAAGAATGTTTCCTAGGTATTTCATATTTGGGCTATTTTCATACTTGTTAAACAAAACAAATCATCCATTCAACTCATTATTAATACAGATAAGGAATTATTCTGTCTTAATTAATAATTTACATTTTAGATACTACATTCGTCTCCAAAATTATAAATATTTACAATTAAATTACATCTTTTTAAAAAAATAATTAATTTTATTTAAAATATTAATTTATCAATAATTTAAACTACTTTAAAAAAAAAAAAACTAATATCTCTTAAATTAACTTCTTTTTTTACATAATCATTTATCACTTAATTAATTAATGTTTAGATGAGAGAGGTATCTATATGTTCATTTATTTTTTCTAATTTTAATAAGAGATAAAGTTTTATCTAATTAATTTTAAATATTTATTATTTATTATTTAAAAGAATAATTAATTAAATAAAGATGCTTAAAAATATATTTAATACAGTTAACAATTAGAATAAAATCTTATATACAAGAACACGCAAAAAAGTGAAAAAAAATATAAGAATATAAGTAGTAAATAATTATGTTAAATATTTTCGAAAAAGTTTTACAACTTTATTGTTCACAATGATTTTATAAAAAAAAATTATCATCAACATAAAAATACAAGTGATCTATAAAAAAGAAGAAAAAGTGTAACTAAAAAGAACTTTTACATTTTTTCCCTTCTCGTGATTTTTGTCTTTTTATTTATTTGCATCGGCGGCATGACAAATCTTGCAAAATATTTTTCTAGACAAAATTTTTACTTTTGATTGAAATTTAATTTTTTGAATATCATAAAATTTTATAATTTTTTTTTCATAATTTGTAACTCCTAAAATTTTGATAAGATAAAGAAAGTGTACAAAAAAGAATGTTAGTAGTTTTTTTTTATTGGACATAATAGCAATGGTTAGATTATTTTCATTTCTATTGTGAGGGTGACTTGTAATTAAGCTAGTTTATTTTTCCTTTCTTATTAATTTAGGGCGTACGTGATTTTAGCTTGTTTATTGTACAAATTAAATATTTAATTTATATAATTGAAGTTTATAATAAAAAAATATTTAAATTAATAGTTATAATAATTATTTATACTTGAATATACAAAAATGTGAATTTATAATAAATAATTTAAATTATGATATAAAATTATTTTAATTATTGATAATTTTTATATAAAAAAAACCACTGAAATTCAATTTAGAAAGTGAAATAAAAATATGACTAATTGAAACAAATGGATATTTGATAACTTCAAAAGAGTGAGAAAATGTAAGAGTATCGTTCAATAAATTGTGTATTTTAATTTAATAATTAGTGAAATTGGAACATTTTGTACCTTTATATATTTTATTTAAATAAAATATAAAATATAAAATAATTAAAATAGAAGATAAATATAAATAATTAAAAGTAAAAAAATAGAATGTTAAGATGCAAAAGTAACTATTTATCATTATAAAAGAATAATCATGGTTGATTTATAATAAATAACGAAGTAATAAGTAAAATTGTCTATTAAAAAGTGAAAATCAAAATTATGTATCCTTTATATATTATTTTACGATAAATAATAAAGTAATAAGAAGAAATGATTATGATATATATTAAGAGGTAAAATTACTTATTGAAAAGTGGAAATCAAAACTTTGTATCATCTTTATATATAATTTTTATACATACAAAAGTGAATGCTTATTATAACTAATTTATAAAACAGATAAAATGTTAAAACAAAAATATTTAAAATTTCTAATTTTTTAAAATGTAAAAAAAAAAAAAAAACTTTGGATAATAAAATTATATTCTAATTTGTAAAAATTGTTTGGCCAAGTTTCTCTTTAAAAGGAGAAGAAAAGACTTTAAAAAAAAATTGAGTCAAACACTACAAATTATGTATGAAATATTATATGTGGAAAGATTTAACCCCTTAAACAAATCTTACTATTTTAAGAAATTAGTCCCTAATTCTTGGTTTGGATGCTATAAATTCACAAAAACAATTATACATGTGATATCTAATCTAATCACAAATTTGAAAATATGATATGCAAAGTTATATGCTCGTTGTCATGGCCGATATATACAAACTTATTTGATGGTTGGTATGCAAAGTTATAGTTAAGAAAAAGTTGTATATGAATTTGAAGGTTTAAAAAAAATGTCTTAGGTTGAAAAAGTAATATTTTTTCTTTGCCACTTATCTTTAAGATTCAGTTGTTATGAGATAGACACTACTTGCAAACATTTTGATGTTCAAATGAATAAATAGTTGAATAAAGTTTCAACACCATGTATATGATATAAGCCTAAGAGAAGTGTATGCTTCAAGTGTTTATTGGGAGGGGGTGAAATGGTTAGTCATTAGACATTTGTCAAACCCCCTCAATTGCCCTTTTATTGATTCCTGGACATGGGAGGATGCTCATATAGTGTTAAGGTATGGTTCATTGAAATATAGGAAGGATTATGTTCCTAGAGAAGCAATCATTGTGCAAGCCAAATTGCACTTGTATTTTGAAAGACATACCACATTTACTTGATGTGCATAGCCCATATCAGGATGCTTAGGTAAAAACCTTGCAAAGTTTTATTATGTTGGATTGAACTAAGTTACTTGACCTTTATTGGGTCTAAAGATAGTTTGGAACACCATTATTTAGTGAATAGTTATAACTTTTCTTGTTATTTTTTTTTTCGAAAAGTTGTGATAGTTATATTAATCATAAATTAAATTAAATGTATTTATAGAAATTAATATATTAAAAAAGATATTTTAGAACATATTAGTGCGATGTTCAATTAATGTTCTATAATATACAAGAGGTTTTCACACATATATGTCTCTATAATGGTAAGATATTATTCACTTTGAGATTAAATTCTTATAGTTTAGCTTTTAGTCCTAATTTAGAAGACTTCTTACCAACAGAGACATATGTGTATATAAACTTATGTTTAGCTTCTTGTTTAAACGATGTTGGACTTTAATTATATCCCAACATGTTTTTATAAAATTAATTAAATCATTAACTCTATTCCTATTAGGGTGAAACATTCTCACTAAATTTATGCTTGTGATCATCTATTCTTATGCCACGAAATCAACTTTCCTTCATTGTTTTACTTCATTGTTTTATTTGTGAAGATGTTGATAGAAAGTGTAAAAGGTTCATGTGGAGGAAGAAGATGAAGATAATAATTGGAAGATTCACTTAACAAGATAAAATCCAAAAATATGGTAGATATATTAGGATTGAGATCGTTTAGAAAAGTTAATAGGACATTCATGATAAAAGTTCAATGCAATTTATGTAAAGACCTTGTGATCTCCAAGTTACAATTGTAAGTGGTAAGTATAAATTCAACAATGACTTTTTACCTTGTATAACCAAATTGATACAAACATGCCTTCTTTTTATTTTTTATTTCTAGGATTATGCCTCAATTGGAATAAGTTAAGCCACAATATTATCGATTACATAGGAAACAAAAGCAAAATTAGGTTTTGGGATGACCATTAAGTACTTTTCCTTCATAGCTTAACTAATATAACTTTGACTTTCATTCCTATTAAGAATCTCTATAAGTGGATGCATGATTATTCATCTCATAATGACAATTAAAATTTGCGAGTATTTCTCACTTAATTCACCAAGTAACTATTGTAATAACCCAAAAATTTTCGATCTCGTGACTTATGGTTTAGACATCCTTTTTAAGATCTCATCAATTAAGGAATGTCCGAACACCAGACTAATTCCTAATTAATGGTTTTGAAAATAGGTTCATGGAGTCGCTACCAATGTTTTACTCAAAACATTGAAAAAATAAAAGGTTTTTAAAGATCCAATAATGGCCTTGATAACCAAAATTGGGTTCGGGGATCGGTTACGTGTAAGGAAGGTATTAAGCACCCCTACAACGCCCTCAATCGGTACCTTATGATGAAGTTAACGTGATAAGAATTAATAAATTAAATATTAGATCCCCTTTATTAATATTTATTTACATGCTATAAATTTAAATTACACAATTGATCATAAAATGTCTACATGATTATTTTTATTATAACAAGGTTTATCAAAGATAAGAAATAAAAAGAAGAGAAGAAGATTAACTGAAATACCTCTTGAACGAGCTCTATTGAATCTTCAAATATGAAGATTTTTAAGTGCTTTATGACAACCTTTCACACTACAATATGCCTCACTAAACTCAAGAAATACAATAGGAGGGAGAGAGAGAGAGAGAAATTTCGAGCTCTAAGGAGTCTTGAACGAAATTTTTGTTGCCTTGAGAACTGTGCCCAAGTATGCTATTTATAGACATTAAAAAGTTGTCAGAACGGCCCGTTCCAGATTTGGAACGACCCGTTCTAGATCTGAACGTTATGTCTTAATTTCGCATCTTGGAACGACCCATTCTAAAGTTGAGTTTAACACGTAAATGCCTACGCTGGAACGACCTGTTCCAAACTAACGTTTTAGGCCCTTTTTTGTAACTTGGAACGGCCCGTTCTAGTTTTGGGAACGGCCCGTTCTAATTCAGGTTTTAGCCCCTTTTTTAGGAACTTGGAACGGCCTGTTCCAAACTTAGGTTTTAGGCCTTTTTATGGACTTGGAACGGTCCGTTCCGATTTTGCAACAGCCCGTTCTAGGCTACTAAA